GTGTGTGTGTGCGCGCTGCAGGATGCATCGTCACTGCTTGCGTTTTCGGACACATCCAACGAGACGTACGCGCGACTGTCGAGTCAGGACCGCCGCGTCGAACTCGCAGATATCGTCAACACAGAGCTCCTCCGTACGTCCTGTTGGGCCATGTCTTGCGATCTTCACGTGGCGTGCTTTGCGATGTTGTTTCAATTTCAAGTGCACCGAGGCACACACACACACACACACACACATACATGCTTGTGTCGATTGCCACAGGTGCACAGTCGTGTAATCCGGAGCCGATGCTGCTTCGAATCTTTGGCAACATCGAGGTGCGATGAAAATTGACGCCACCACTGTGACGCACGTTCATGCATCACAATTCACGCTCATTTCTCCAACCGCACCTCACTCCCGCACCACGCTTTATGACACATCTCTCCCACCACTTTTGTTTGTTTGCAGACGTTTATGCAACGCATGCGCGAGCACCGAATGGGCCTGACGGCGCTCCTGGACATCCCACGCTTGCTCGAGTCCTGACGGGATGTGCTACTTCATCCACTCACGCACGCGCACATACGTCGCTGTCGTTGTTTGTGTTGTTGTGCATGCGTGTGCACGTGCAAGTTTATGTATGCGTCATGCTTTGCTTGATCGTGGAGATGGCCATTGCATTCGTGTGTGTGTGTGTATGTATGTGTGTGTGTGTGCGTGCGTGTGTGTTTGTCCTTAACAAACAATCGTTACACCCTTTTCATTACAAAACAAATACACTGTATTGTGTCAGCAGCTGTTACCACGCCGCATCTCACACACACACCCGCGTGCCAGCGCGCTTTCATCATGGAAGATAATCAAATACGTGTGCACACAAAGCACAGGAGGTGAGCGACATGTGCACACACACATCGCAGCAAAATAAACAACAAAAGCAGCCCTGCACCACCCGAGTCCAAAAGGCCGGTACATCACACCACAGCCAATTCGTCAGTTGTGCTGTGCAGGGTTGATCCAAGTGCTGGAGGCCACAAACATCTTCGCACGATTGCCTCTCGCCAAACTCGTGTGTGTTTGCAGCAACGACAAGTCGTCCGTTGGCACAACGTCGCTGGGACGCACACGTAGCTTGACGATGCCTACGTGGTGGAGGATGCGGTGGTGGAGTGTGAGTATGTGCATGTGTGTTGGGTGGTAGGTGCGGAAAAGGACGTAATTGCCAGCGCAACAGCACTGTCAATCCGGCATACCGACACACACACACACACACACACACACACACACACACACACACACACACACACACAGACACACACACACACACACACAGGCCAACAATCAAAGAAAGCGTCACCTCTCGTGCGTTTTGGGGGCTGGAAGCGCTGGGATTCAATTGGCGGCAGAAGAAGCGATGAAGCCGTGACGGAGGTTGAGGCCGTGCTGTCAATCATCGCAAACGTGTCGATGGATACGTAAATATACATGGTGAATGGATGTGTAAGTGGTGTGCGTGTATGTACCATGCGGCGATGACGACGTCGAACTAAACACACAATCATACACACACATACATACATACATACACACATACATACATACATACATACACACATACATACATACATACATACATACATACATACATACATACATACATACATACATACATACATACATACATACATACATACATACATACATACATACATACATACATACATACATACATACATACATACACATATGCGGCGTACCCTGGCTTGCGCGTGTATCCGACCCTGGGCAGTCGGGTGGTGGCGGTGGAGGTGCGGGACGCCGTAACGCGATCGAGACTGATGGTCTGATGCAGCGGCGTGTGCACGCGCACAGGCGTGTCCTCCACCATGCGTCGTCGTTCCTCCTCCACGTTCAGCCAGTGGTTGAGCACATCAATGGCATCGACGTTGGCCGGGTCCAGCGGGATGGCGTCCTTGCGCGAGTGCGGCTTGAGTTGGTCCAGTGACCCTCCAAGAAACTCCAGGCTCATCTTCGACGTGCGTGAGGTGGACCGTGTTTCCAGACTGCGGACGGAGCCTGCCGTCTGCACGCGCGATTTGTTGCGCCGCATTTCAAGTTCCAGATGCGAAGCGAGTTTGAGGTGCCACTCGTCAAGAAACGCTTTGATGCGCTGGCGAATCAGATTCGCTTTCGGTTCACTCACAGCCCTGCTGTCCAGGCCATCCTCCTGTTGCACATGTGCCAGCATGCGTGCGTGTGTGTGTGTGTGTGTGTTCGGGTGTGTGTTTGGGTGTGAATGAGTGACGCTTGAGATGCGAATGTAATTGAAGCCACGAAAGACCACGAGCAATGAGAGACACGAGCAGCTTGCAACACACACAGACACAGACACAGACACAGACACAGACACACAGACACAGACACAGACACACACACACACAGAGCGTACGCACCACAATGTCTGTTCCCCAGTTGCGCACGAGTTCAAAGAAGGACCCCGTCCTGTCCATAAACCCGAGATTCGCCAGATTGCTCTTGACTTTCTGTTGCTCCTGCGTGGGAAGTGTGTGAGCGTGTGTACATGCAGCAGGTAAGTGTATATGGGTGGGTGAATGAGTGAGTGGGTGTGAGTGTGAGTGCGAATCGAGTGGATGCGCGTGCGTGTGTGTCAATGTGCGTGCCATCTACGAGTGAGGAAAGACACTCTGTGCGCGCGCAACGATGCCCAGCAAGCTCCACATCACTCCCGGTCGCACCTCTCTCGAGCCGGCTGCGTAGCGAAACAGAAGCTCCACGACAATGTCATCTTACGAAACGCAGCAGCAATTGTGAGTTGTAGGGAACGCTGATAATATGCAAGGCAGTGCAGCATCATCGCAAACGTTCAGACCTGCGCAGGCAAGCACACACCAGCACAAGCACGGATACAAATATGTACACACACATACACACACACACACATAAGTCAAAGCACGCATTGAAGAAAGGGAAACGCACTTGGAACGCCTTTGTGAAGAGAGGAGGCCAGCAGCGTCATTGCATCCAGTATTGGCAGAAGCAGCGCAGGCTTCTGCCACGGCAACGGTCGGCGTGTGTGTATATGTAGATTCGCGTGTGTATGCGCATCAATGAGTTGCTGGACTGTGAGGATGTGCAGTCAGCCATCTGGAACCTCCTGAGCAGGAACATTTGACACAGACAGACACACAGAGACACAGAGACACAGAGACACAGAGACACAGAGATACAGACACACACAAAAGCACACATACACACACATACACACACACACACACACACACAAGCACACACACACACACACAGACCTTTGCGAGCGCGCCGTCAAGTGCGCGGCGGATTGCATCATGATCGGCAGCGGTTGCGTCAGGGTGGCGGCTCAGCATGCCCAGGTCCCGAACAATCGTCGCCTCTCGCTCCTCGTTGCCCGTGCAGAACAGCAGACCGCGCGGGTCACCCGGCTGCAGGTGGATAGTGGGTGCCGGCGCTGGCCCCATGCCACTCGTGCTTGCAAGCAACTGCACAACGCCAGAGAGCGGGATTTGCCGTGGTGCACCCGTTGTTGCATCGGGCGGGGGCCGGATGTGGTCAAACGTGCCAGGGATGGCACGCGGGTAGTGGAACCTGAACCAGTTGTGGTCGCGGAACTGTGTGAGATATCGCGGCAGCGGCGGTGGCGGCACGAACGCGGACGTGTCATCATCGTCGTCGTCATCATCAAGCACTGGTCCAATCTCAGCGTCATCGTCGTCCTCCGACAGGATGGGATCTGTGGCACCAAAGTCCTCCTCGTCACTATTGTCACCTTCATCCTCTGCGCGTTGGCGTCGTTCAAAGGACGGCACGGCCTCCACCGCCGGACTGTCGTCCTCTCCCCTCTCCTGCGCTGCCTGTCGCCTCTTCGCTCGCTCCATGCGCTCTCGCTGCTTCCGTTCTTCTTCGTCCTCTGAATCAACATCCTCATCCTCATCCTCATCACTCCCCTCACTGTCGAGTTGTGCTGTGAGCAGCGCCATCAGTGCATTGTCTCCATCGTCATCGTCATCGTCATCGTCGTCGTCGTCTTCATCTTCATCAAGCACACCCCGGCGTGACTGCATCATGGAATACATCAGAGGTGTTACACACACACACATACACACACATACACACACACACACACACACACACACAGAAGTTGGGTCAGAACATGCGACAATAGCGCGGGAACACACAAATGCAGAAAAAAGGATGACAGGCACGCACATACAACCATGTGAACGCTGCGCACACTCTCAGGTACGTGAAAGGCACACACACACACACACACACACACACACACACACACACACACACACACACACACACACACACACACACCGCGGAGAGGGCGTCGCGCTGTTCATCTGTAAATGTCGGCGCGTGATATTCAACGGCGGAGATTGGGCGCAAGCCTTCCTCCAAACTGTAGCAGTGGCAATACGTCGGGTTGCGGGTGGCGGTACGTGTGTTGAGGGGGGGGGGAGTGATACGTGAGTTCGTTTCACATCCAACCGTGCAAGTGTGCTGTGTGGGCTTGTGTCTGTCAGTCTGTGCCCTGCACACACACACACACACATTGCGACGGAACACACGCCACTCTATAACTACAAATTCAACAGCAGCAGCAGCAGCAGCATCATGTCACCAATGCGACACCATTCAGCGCCATCATTCAAAACACGAGTCAACTAACAACTTCTGCCAGATGGAGGAGTTTGGGATGGACCCGTCAGGCGCCATTGGCAATTGCGTGTGGTATTTGCGCCGCGCAACCGACTGCGCGTGCAGTGGCGAGGGCTCAGCACCCGCCTGTGTGAGCAGTAGTGGCCGGGTGGTGGTGACGGTGAAGGGTGGGTGGGCATGGCGGGGGCGTGAAGTGAGAAGACACGTAAACGGACGAACGAGCAGACAGATACAAAGGCAGAACTGTACAAAGGCAGAATTGCGCAAAAACAGAAGAGCGCGCGCACACAAACATGCACCCACATGCAGCCATACACACACACACACACACACACACACACACACAACCACACGCACACACACACACACACAGCCACACACACAGAGTCACAACAGCACGCACCTCTGGCAGCTCGTCGGCGAGCTCACGGAGGAGTTTGAGGTCGGCGTCGCTGAGCGACTGCTCCGGCTGTAGCGCCATCGCCTTGAAATGCGCTTTGATCCTCTGCACGTGCGGGTTTGGTGGATACAACTTCCGCACAAACGCGCGAAGCGCGCGTCTGTCCGACTTTCTGGACTTTGGCTCCGTCACGGTGTGGTTCTTCGCCTGCTGTCGTCGATCCAACAACTGCTGCACATATGCATGGCGTTCGTCCAGGCGTTCCCTCTCGCGCACCCTCTCCTCCTCCCTCAACAGCTGCTCGCGATCAAGTGTGGCTGTCAGGTTGAAGCTGCGGCCTGCCGTGGTGCTCCCCGTTGACAGGCTTCGCTGCATGGGGAGCGCCCCATCCAGCCCATACCGCTCTGTCTCCTGCCAGATGAGGAGATGCTCTGATCCGGACGGCGACACGAGCGACAGCGCAGAGTCGGTGCGTTGCGGCGTGTGCGCGTGCGGCGTGTGGTGGTGGCTGTGGTGATGGTGGTGCCTGCTGTGCATGACAGCACCAAGCGCACGGAAGCGAACAATGTCCTCAGACTCCAAGTGTGCGAGCACGTCCATCTCGTGTACTTGGCGGTGCACACTCATGAGGACGCTGAAGCGGGTCGGGTGGAAGCAGCACGCGTGTACGGGGGTGGCCACATCGCAGCGCATCAGCGGCTGATTGCGGAGATCCCAGAAGCGAACGGTGTGGTCCAGCGACGCCGTGAGCGTGATGTCGGCCGTCTCGTGGCACGTGAGCGCCGTGATGGCTGCTGTGTGGTCGTCCCGTGGCTCGTGCATGAGGTGTTCGTTCTGGTCCAGCAGAAAGCACGCAAGCGGGAATCGTGTGCGCTTCCTGTCCGTAAACACGACCCAAAGGGAGTCCTCCTTGCCTGCGATGTGCGTTGCCGTCAGTGCCTCGGCCTCTGCGAAGAAAAATTCGCTCTGCTTTGCTGCTGTTGCCAGTGACACGTCGCTTGTCTGCAGCGGTATACCCTGTTCTGCAATCACGTCGGCGAGGGTGGATGTGGTGGACGCTGTCATGGCTGTTGTTGTTGTTGTTGTTGTTGTTGTTGTTGTTGTTATGCTCGTCACGCTCACGTTGGACAGCGCCGATGCTTCTGTGCCAATGCGCTTGCGCGTTGCAGCATGGGCAGCGGTCGCCGTCGTTGCATCTGGACTGCCAACATCAAACGTCAGTGTCGGCACAGCCCCGCCCCACTTGCTCTGCTGGTGACCACCACCACGAGGGCGAGTGGCATTGCTGTCTGTGCTGTCACCATTGCTGTCATGCCCAGCATGGTCATGTGCGGGTGCGTGGGATGCGACAGAGAGCAGACCGCTGTGTTGCTGCTGTTGGTGATGGTGATGTTGCTGGTGTGGTTGTTGCTGTTGCTTGCGAGCACGGCTTCGAGGCGATGTCTGTACGGCTGCTGGCTGGTCGCTGTGCTGTGGAAGCGTGAGGTGCCAGTGCACAACCAAATCATCTGCACCGACAGTGACGATGGACGCATCGCGCGTGATGGGCATCCACCCGCGCTGGTTCGTCATGTGCACAATCTGGTGGTGGTGGTGGTGGGTGGGCGGGTGGTGTTTGGTGTTGAGATTGGAGTGTGAAAAACGTGGGATGACGCAGGGAGGGCCAGGAGACCGAGGAAGAGATATAATACAAATATACGCAAATGCACACACATCTGACGCACGTGGCACATGCAGCCGCTCACGCACTCACGCACGCACACACACACACACACACACACACACACACACACGCACACACACAAAGGACACGCACACACAAAGGACACGCAAACACACACACACACACACACACACACACACACACACGCACGACACACACACACACACACACACACACACACACACACACACACACACACACACACACACACACACACACACACACACACACACACGCACGCACCTCCTTGGTGTGGGATTGCCCATCCAGCAGAGTCATACGCCCGCTTCGAAGATCCAAGCAATACAGCGATCCATCACTCATGGCGACCGCCACCATCATGTACACAGAGCCGTCCGCATCTGGATACATGTCATACACGCGCTGCATCACATCATCGCGAACAAACGCCGTTGGCACCGGCCGTCGTCTCCGCCCGAACACACGCGCGGATCGCGGGGGCGCAATGGCCTGCAGTGGTGGCGGGTTGCCAACACACGGCAGCGCACACATGGCACGACACTGGTACTGATGGTGCTGGTGCTGTTGTCGGTGGTGTTGGCGTTGTGGGTGTGGCGGACGCAGCGAGGCGCTTGCATCCGAAGATGAGGATGGCGGGACAATGTATGTGGCGATGCGCTGGTGTCTGCCGCGGCAGTCCACCAGCACGAGCGGGCCTGCTGCTAGCGCGAGGAGAAAACAGTCGAGACCGCGAAGATACAACGCAGCGGATACGGACGGCGGTGGTGGCTGCAGTGATGAGGGGATGGTTGTGCTGGCTGTGGAGGATGTTGTGGACGCAGACGTGGACATGACGTGATGGCTGCGCGCGTGTGCGCTGGCGGCACCAGTCACAGCGGTGGCCGTGGCTGTGGTCACGGAGGAAGAGGTGGAGGTGGCGGCACGTGTCCAATTGAAGCGCGTGCTCTGCATTGTTGGGTCGGGCGGGGGCGGCAGCTGCGGGATGCTGTCATCAAGACGAGCAACGATGCGCTGCGATGCTGATGACAGGAGCATGGGCGTGCGTGATGGCGGCTCCTCGGCAGAGATGATCACCTGGTTTGGGCGGTGCGTGCTCTGCATGTTGGAGAGCTGTGTGTGGCAGAGCGTGAAGAGGTGGTGGATGAAGTGGATGCCCACCACCTGCATACCATCAACACCGGCCAGGAGCAGCGTGTGTGGGCGTGCGAGCGGCGCGATGATGCGATGGAACTGGTGCGTGAGGTTGAGCACATACAGACACTCGCGTGAGGTCGTGTGCCACGCGCGCAGCGTTCTGTCGTCGGCAATGCTGACGACGATGGCGTGTGCGTCATCGCCCGGCAAGGGTCGGATATCTCTGACGGCGCCGTTGTGGCCCGCAAACACGCAGATGAGGTCAAACTGGGGCGACCACGATTTGATCACGCCATCGCTGGAGGCTGTGAACACGTGGTTGTCAATCTCTCTGGCGACGATGGCGGTGATGGCGCGCGTGTGAATGCGCTCCGAGCCACGCACGGCCTTGCCGTGGAGTGTGTGCAGGGAGACGCTGGAGCCCGTAGCCACGTACACCCTGCGCTGGGAGGGCCGCTCCGTGGAGATGGAGACAATCTGGCAACCGAGGGTGGCGTCAGCCGGTACGGCAAGCTCATACTGCTGGCGCTCCTCAAGGCGCTTACCGCGGCGGATGCCAATGACGAGAACGTGTGTCTCTCCTCCGACGAGGATGTGCTGGCGTTGGGGAACCACCGCGGCCGCACAAATGTTCTGGGAACACGTGCGTTCGTCCAGGACCTGGAACTCCTCCGTGAGCAAGGCCATCTTGCGTTGACCGCGCTGGTATGCGAAGAACAGCCGCATCTCCTGCATGAACACAAGTGTGTCGAAGTCCCTGCTGATGGACCAGGTCTTGTCCTCTGGTCGTGCCCACAGCGTGGACGCCTCATCGTGCCCGCTGACAAATGCCTTGCCACGATACAGGCAGCATTCTCCGCGCGACACAATCAGTGGCTTTGCCTGGTGATACCCGCGAATCACGTCGAGAATGGGGCCGTGTGGATGCGGAATGGCCTCTGACACCGTCTGCAAGCCATGCGTCAACGCATGCTGCATCTTGGTGCTGCTGTTGTGTGGGTGGTGTGGGTTGTCGTTGTCCTTTTTGCTTGGCAACAACGGAAAATTGCACAAAGATGCCCACAAATCTTCACAACTGGTGGTGTGTGAGTTTGTGTGTGTGTGTGTGTTTGCATGTGAGTGTGTACGTGTGTGTGCGTGCGTGTGTGAGTTTGTGTGTGTGTGTGTGTGCACGTGTGTGTGTGTGTGTGTGCATGTGTGTGTGTGTGCGACACAAGTGGCTTGCTGGGCTTGCTTGGTTTTGGTTGTTTTCATTGGTGACACAGTTGTTCTCAGGCTAGTCATGTAACGAAAGCGAACACGGAGCAAAAGCAACAAGGGTCGGTCAGTCAGTCAGTCAGCCAGTCGGTCAGTCCGCCAGGCTGGTCGCTGCAAGCTTCTACTGCACGTGCTGATGGTTTGATTCGTTGACCACGACGGCATAGGTGCAGCATAGCTTGTGCTCGCCCCAGTGCTGGCGCTGGCAGGCGGGGCTGCAGTAGTATGCCTGATAGCATCCAGTGCAGCAAAACTCGGCGTGTTGGCCACAAAGCACACACGCCGGCACGCGAACCTGCGGCACGCCGTCGTCGCCAACGCCCGCATAGGCTTGGTGCTGTGTTGTGGGGACATACGGCTGCTGTGGAGGCAGGGACGGAGGCAGGGGTGGAGGCAGAGTTGTTGGTAGATAACGGGGCTGGATGGATGAAACATCCGCCCGCACAGGATAGTACCCAACAGGGAAAGGTTGCTGCTGCTGCTGCTGCTGCTGCTGGTGGTGGTGGTGGTCGTATTGATATTCGTGTTGTTGTTGTTGTTGTTGTTGTTGTTGTTGTTGTTGTTGTTGTTGTTGTTGTTGTTGTTGTTGTTGTTGTTGTTGTTGTTGTTGTTGCCGCTGCCTGAACGTTGTTGTGGGTGCTTGCGGACACTTTCTGCGCGTGTGTCCCTGGCACCGGCAGATGCTGCACGTTGGCGGGCGTCGCTTCTTCTTGACCCGCAGCTGCGCTCCAGGGCTCTCCGCCACGTTGGTCGCTGACAACGGCACCGTGTGCCCCTCTCGTGCTGCTGGAGGCAGCTGT